ATTATCTTTATATATTTATAAAAAAACAAAACTAATGTATAACGAAAGGAGTTGTTTGTTATTTTTGATATTGTGTTATGCTTATTTCTTATCAGATCCAGATATTTGTGTCTCCAAGTCATTCCATATAAGTCAAATTATTTTGTTAATATGTATGTTATTACAAGTTCAATGGACATTATCAATGTAATTGTTATAATGGCGTCTAATAATAATTTATTTGATCTCTAGAAAAAAACAGTGAGTAAAAAATTGTTCTTGATCAAAAGCTTAGAAAATTTTTTCAAATGGTTCCATTATATAATATTCCAGGTGCTTCAAAAACTCTCTACATTTTAAATTGTGGTACAGTTTTTATAATGATACTTGAATAAACGTGTTGCCACCGTTTAAGCCCGATAATATTGAAATAACACAGCAATTATTCTGGGAAGGCATCTAGGAAGAAATATTTAAAATAGGTCAGAGAGAAAACAAAGTTAAACATGGAAAGTACTCTAAGAGGTTTGGCTGTATAAAGTTTATAAAGTGGTACCGTTACACTTTTATAGATAGGAGAAATAAATGTAATAACTGGTCCGTTGAGGGCTGAGTGGTATTTGAGAGATTTTGGAAATATGTTTTAAGTCTATAAAAGTTTCTTTTTTCTACGGTCTTAACATATAAACCAGGGACTCTAGGCATCCAAGGATGTAAAATAATTTTTTTCTGCAAAAGTCATTAATCGAATTAAAGCAATCAGTTGTTCCAAAAATGACGAATAAGAAGTTTTTTAAATGTTGCCACTAGTCACAAAGATCCACAGAATACACTTCCTTTTAAATATCTCAGTTTTTTCTTCAAAAGAGTCTACAATTGTTGGAACAGATTTTAAAATATGATCTTTACAAAGAATTCTATCCACGAAAGATTAGAAGAAAATGTATAACATTTTTAAAAACCTCCAAAAATGCCTTTAGGCAAATGATTGGTATTTTTGTTGATTTAGAGTTCATATGGATAAGGCTGTTGAAACTGTTCCATGTCGGCCGATATTAGAATATAACCCCTATTCTGGGGACGATTACCCACAGCCATACCTTTCAAAATATACCTGTTAATGTAGACCATTCAAATGGATATTAGATATGGAAAATCAAGTGACTATAAGTTGAGATTTCTAATACTATTTTTAATGTTGTTGAAAAATAAATTTTTTAACGAAAACTTATAAAATTTAGGGTCTATTTATGGCAAGGCAAAGATATAAGGTTCTTAAAATTAACTTTAAATGTTTCTTAGAAACTGGTGCAATTCCTAGGATGTTTGCTATTAAAATTGCACCATATCGGATCACAAGTTTTATATAACATTTATCAAGATTAGGCAAATGTGATTTGGAAATATTAATATTATATAATTTTTCATCAGGTAACATCTTCTAATTACTGTGAGGATATAACAATGAGACGATGGGACTTGAACGAATGTAAGAAAATTCCAAATATTAAACTTAGAGAAGAGTTTTTGAAAAGAGTTCAAAAATCAATCCATTTGCATGTCATTATTTCAACTACTCTTCCGACATAAGCGTAAAGATATAGTACAATTTATATCATGTTATATTTAATTATAATAGCACATGAAATGGCATAGCCATATCAATAAATGGCAACTCCTTTCGGCATACAGATACTACAAAACCAATGAAAACAAATCGGAACAAATGTCTAAAATTCTTACTTAAAATGTGTATTTTTTTTTTGTTCGATTATTATTAATGTTTTTGTTTTTGTTATCATCATATTTACATGAAATCTCGGAAAATTATTTAATATTTTTGTTTTCTCTTTGGTAAAGCTTGTCGTTGTTCCCTTATTCCTTATCATCATTTATAATTCCATTTGAGAATAAATATTTCAATTTGTCTGTATGTATATACATAATACCACACAAATAAGTTAAAATTATGTATGTATATAAAACTGTATTTTATTCCATTATATTTTAATAATGATCCAAGTCATATGTTGTAAAGGATGTGGGGGAACAAATAAAGATAAGGAATATATTATTGTGGAATGGATTCTATAAGATCTATAAAATTAATAATATTATTATTACAGTAATATGCTTAATATAATTATTTTATTGTTATGAACTCTAAATGTATTATTTACGATATTCGATCTATATACACACACACGCATTATTTAAAACTTATACAATAAATAAATAAAATATAATTAAAAACATATTTTTTATTTGATTATTGAGTTTTACTTCTTCCAAAGATGGAATGGTAGGATTGAATCTTTTTTAATCCTTATACTGTATACAATCTCTCAAAAATGTACCATTTGGTATTATGTGAACGGTAAAAACTTAAAATTGGTATGAGAATGATGTGAGAGTTTGATGTATAAAGAGGGTTTTGGAAATGTGTACTAGGTAAGGTAAGGTTAAATGACGCACGGTTGCCTTTTGGTAACCGCTCCACTCGTAGACCTGGTGGTCCACTGTGTTCATCCTAATGAAGAAAGTGGAAGAAAGAAAAGAATGGTGGAAAAAGTGAAGGTATTACTGCTAGGTATTACGGCTAGAAATCTTGTCCAGTCGTCTTTAGCCACTTAAGTCTTCTGGCTAATTGAAGAATTACTGTAGGGTCAGTGTTTGAGAACGAAGACAAATCATGTGACACTTGTTCCCCACCAACCTGTGTCTCACGTTAATGAGTGCTGGACAATGGCAGAGCAAATGACCGATCGTCTCAATTACTTCTTCGTCTTGGCAGATTTTACGTAGTCAAGATCATCGCTGTCCCATTTCTAGGTCATTGCCCTCAACTAGCAGTGACCTTTGATGATACCCACCACAAGTTTTAAATCAGGTTTCGACAAGGACAGTAGCGAAATTTTCCTCTTCTCCGAGAGTATGGGCCAGATTCTTTTGGAGCTGCTGTATCCCCTTTCGTTTAGCCATTTTTGTTGAATTCTCTATGAGTATTGTCTGTGAATTACCTGTAGGAAGTGCAACAGGGGTGGTGTGATCGAGTTCTCAACTTCAATGATAGCTGATTCGGACCCTTCGCTTTTAGTCTCGTTGTCTGGAATATTGTAATGACCAGGAACCCAACAGAACTTGATGGACAACCCACTGTTTTCCAAGGGTTTCCTGCAGTTCAAAACAATCTGAGAACATATAGTATAGGAGTCTAAGGCTTTCAGTGCCTCTTGACTATTGACGTATAAAGTTAACGGATTGATAACCTCGTTGTTCCTCGTGACCAAAAGGTCTATGTCTTTTTTGAACGCAAAGATTTCCGAATGGAATACGCTACAGTCGTTTATAGACTTTAGGATTAAGAGTGTCACAGAAGACACCAGCTCCTGTTCCGCATTCCATCTTTGAGCCGTTGATATAGACAGCTATGCCGCAGAAAGGTGAATTGTTACGGGCCCAGGCGTCCCTGTGGATGTGGAATAAAATTTTGAATTGGGGTCCCTGTTGATGATAGGTTTATGATAAAGAGGGTCGCTGTTCATGTGAAACATGGGCATATGAAGGTGGTTTCGGAAAGTACTAAATGATACTATATTTGGTATTGGTTGAAGGGATAAAAATCTGAAATTCGATATTTAGATTACTGATGGTATATGTGTTTGGGATGTGGCGGAAATGCGTCCTATATTTGTTCGAAAATTACTAAATGGTACGAAATTTGGTATTGGGTGAAGAGATAGGGCTGGAATCTTCAAATTTAATATTGAGGTCTCTGTTGGTATTTGTTATTGAGATATGGAGGTGGTTTTGGAAACGCGTACTAAAATTATAAGAAGTGTACTAAATAGTACTAAATATAGTATTGGGTGAATGTATAAAGCTGAAATTTAATACTAAAAATTGTACACGAGATATCGGGTTATTGTGAAAGAAATAGTGGTTATACCCTAGACCATATAGCGGTAATAGTATAATGTCTTTGTGCATTTGTTTGTAACATGAAGAAGGAAGCGAGACGGACCCATAGTTACTTTTGAGAATCTTCATAGAATCACTTTCTGACTCGATGTATACATGTCAGTCCGTCTGTCCACATATTTCTGTGAACAAAATTCAGGTCGCATTTATTATCCGATTGAAACGAAATTTTCCAAACAGTATTTGTTTGGCTCAAGGACGAATCCTATTGAAATTGGTGAGAATTGGTTCAAATTTGTATATAGCTCCAAATGGTAAGTATCAATCCAAATGACCTGTATTTTGGCACATCCGACTTAGGGAAAATCGGTTCAGATATAGCTATAGCTCCCATATATATGTTTCATCCGATTTAGGATTTTGAGTCCCTCACAAGTAAGATATTTGGTATCGAGGATCACATAGTGCTCGAAAATACCTCTGCCAAATTTTATCGAGATCGGTTCAGAATTTTATATAGCTTTGATATACATCTTCATTCGATTTTACGGTTATTGCTCACCATACATGTAATATCAGCCCAAATTGAATAGATTTTTTCATATTCAACCGAATTGTACCATTTGATGAAACTCGGTCTTGTATATCTATTGCTCCAATAAATATTTGTTAATATAATCTTTATCGAAGCCATATCGAGCACTGTGCAGCAGTGTTTAATAGTTGGTATGATCTACTTCACATAAACTCCCAATATAAACTTTTTTGTTACGTGAGCTCTACTAAATACGCATAGTGGTGTTGGATATCATATAGTCGACCCCGCCAGACTTTTTATCTTTCCTTGCTGGTTTTTATTTGATTCACTTAATATAAATTTCTTGTTCCACATGGGAAGAAGGAAGCACTTGCTAGTCGGTGTAGGCTATAATTTACGCAGTCAGTCCCGCTTTCACAATAAAAAATGTGTAACCATTATCAAAGCTTCATGTGTATAACCTTCTTCTGACCTTCTTCTGATTTGAATTTTACCATTGAACATTTTTAATGTATTATCGATAACGAAGAAACATTTATAATAGGTCACAATTGATTTAATTAAAGCCATAATCTGTATGGAGGCTTAAGAAGCAATGCGGAATTCTGCGGACAAATATATTTTTTTAAGTTTAAGTGAAAAGATATAAAAAATATACAGTATTTAGTTAAAAGTGAAAGTAGGTAAGACTGGTAAATCTAAAATTCATTCAACTGCTTGAAAAGATAATCGAATGAAAAAGTGACGAAAACTGGGTATGTGAAAAATGGTTGGTGTAGTGTTACTGATATTAGAATAATTCGCACAAATTATTACAAAATTACTTTGAATAATCCAAAGTCCAGTAAATGAGAAAAAAGTATGAAAAACAAGACCATTCATATTTTTATGCCAAATATTATAAATTAAAAATCTGAACTTCGATTTTGAATACCAGTACCCGTTTGAAAGTTACAGGCCTTTGAACAAAAAAACGATTTTAAAGTACTTTGCAAGGTCTCATTCAAAAAGTAAAAGGAGTGTGAAGATGAAAAGAGAAGGGTTCTACGGAGTTATTGACTGCTCCATACTATGACATCTTTTCCATGGCTTCATTGACCTTGGTGCCTCAGTGGTTCGAGGCTGAGATGAAAAAACTGCAACCAACTTCACACTGCTGTCATTTCTAAGCCACTCGTCCGACAGCTGTTAAAATTATTCCAGTGACATCTCATTATATTGTTTACAGGCGTACAAAAGCGTTTTGGCGAGAATTTTCCAAAAAAAGTTAATCGTGATGGAATTCAAGCGTGATAGTGTGATTTCTTTATATTTGGCTGCGTTTAAATGTGAATAAATCTTTTGTGTCTCGTTACCGTGATATTGGAAGCGTAGCCCGACGTCAAGGAAATGGATGGAAGAAATCAGCAACATCAGCAGAAATGGTTCGAAAAGTAAAGAAGCGACTTGTTCGAAATCCGCGTCACAGTGGTCGAAAAATGGCTCGTGAGCTGAACATATCGCAATATTCAATTCGGAAAATGTTGAAAAATAAGCTCGGGGAAAAGACATTGAAATTCCAAAAAGCACTACAAATGTACATTACAATCAGTAAAATACCAAATTTAAAGGGTGCAAAATAATAGAGCGAATGGGACTTTTAGTAAGAAAAGGATTTCTATCCTTCCAGGAATTCTTCCCAAACATTCAAGATACCTTAAATCACTTTTGCAGGTCATGATATCGATTTAAGCTATTTTTGGGGTCTTGGCCACTTTTTTCATATTTTGGCCCTTATTTGGCATCTTTGTCTCTAAGGGGTTAGGGAACCATCATACAGATAATTGCCACATAGGAATTTATTTAAGTAAAGTCCCCACATTGGAGTATCCCCAAGTCCACTTTCACATATAATGTGTGGTCAGAAAAGAAAAGTTTGTATTCTATTGAATTTGTAACTCTCAAGAGAATATTGGTTGGAAAGGTAGATTTGGGAAATACATCTATATGATAATATGGTGGATAAAACTATTTTTACTCATTTAAATCACGCGGAATGTTTTTCAGTTTGACATGCTATGTTGTTCTGTTAAATTTTTGATTTGGTCTCTATTTGTCATATTGGATTATAAGGGTTAGAAGAATGTTTTCAATGTAGGTCGATGTCTCGGAGTAGTGCCCATATAAAAGTATCTCCTGATTGTACCATATTTCAAAGGATTTGGCTAAAAATGTGTATTTGGGGGGTGAAAACTTACACAAAAATATGAACATACCTACAAATTTTAGAAGGGGGACTTATAAGAACGCTAATGGACAATCTGAGGTGCTAATGGCTTAAAAAAGTAATTAACTTTGGCTATTCTTAATTCATTCAGCGCTCAATTATGAGGTGTACAAAATACAGCAAATTCCAAATATGGGTACAGCTATTTTAAATCATTTTTAATCGACCAGTACGGGAACACTTATCAGTCATATCTGTGAATAATTATGCTTTGACAAATATGCATAATAGACAAAAACTACGGGCCGGCAACGCGGACCGGGCCAGCTAGTATATATATATATATATATATATATATATATATATATATATATATATATAAATATAAATATATATATATATATATATATATATATATATATATATATATATATATATATATATATATATATATATATATATATATATATATATATATATATATATATATATATATATATATATATATATATATATATATATATACTTTGTTGGGTCTAAAATTATTATTTCGATGAGTTAAAAACGGAATGACAAACTTAATATACCCTCCATACTATCGATATCGCATAGCCCCCATATAATGGTACCCCTGATATTGGGTATTTTCACGATTTTAGCCACATTTTTTAACGGAATTGTCTGAATTTTCACACAAGGAGTTCTTTGTGAGCACTTTACTCCCTGAAAGAGAATTATATATATATCTACGTCTACGATATCATATAGCTCCCATATAAGGGTCCCCCACGATACTCGGCATTTTAATGATTTTAGTCCCATTTTTCAACGGAATTGTCTGAAATTCTACAAAAAGAGTTCTTTGTGTGTACCCCCAGACATAGATTTGTAGGTCCACAATACCGTATATGCCTCCAATATATAGGCACCTTTAGATATTCGGTCTTTTTAAGATTATTACAGATTTTTTAATGGATTTTATTTATTAGAACAGTGTTTGGCTTGCTTGTTTGGGATACCATAGTATTTTGTTGTTGCAAAATCGTCAGGCAAAATCCCATTATTGCTGTTTTTATAAAAACAACGTATGTTTATGAGTGAAGAACGATGGTAATGCTTACCAGGGGGTAAGGCAGGGAATACCTAGGTTTCGGAAAGAGCCACCAATCCTCATCAGTTCCCTTGTTTCTTGTCTGGGATATTCTCCCCAGAAGTTATTTAAAAAATAACTTCTATGACAAAAAACATTTTTTACCCAAGTGACGAGATCGTAAGCTCAATAGAAGAGGAACAAAAGAATTACATAAAACTAAAATTCTTTTGGAAAATCTTCTAAATCTTACAACCGCACTTATAAACATTAACATCTTTCTCCACTTGTTATGCTTTCGTTCAACCTGAACGAAGTAACATAACCATGTAAGTTTGTTTTGTCTGTTACAACAAAAACCCCTTCGTCGACCGTGCCTGTGTCTATTAATAGAACAGTGTTTGGCTTGCTTGTTTGGGATACCATAGTATTTTGTTGTTGCAAAATCGTCAGGCAAAATCCCATTATTGTTGTTTTTATAAAAACAACGTTTGTTTATGAGTGGATAAAAACAACAATAATGGGATTTTGCCTGACGATTTTGCAACAACAAAATACTATGGTATCCCAAACAAGCAAGCCAAACACTGTTCTATTAATAGACACAGGCACGGTCGACGAAGGGGTTTTTGTTGTAACAGACAAAACAAACTTACATGGTTATGTTACTTCGTTCAGGTTGAACGAAAGCATAACAAGTGGAGAAAGATGTTAATGTTTATAAGTGCGGTTGTAAGATTTAGAAGATTTTCCAAAAGAATTTTAGTTTTATGTAATTCTTTTGTTCCTCTTCTATTGAGCTTACGATCTCGTCACTTGGGTAAAAAATGTTTTTTGTCATAGAAGTTATTTTTTAAATAACTTCTGGGGAGAATATCCCAGACAAGAAACAAGGGAACTGATGAGGATTGGTGGCTCTTTCCGAAACCTAGGTATTCCCTGCCTTACCCCCTGGTAAACATTACCATCGTTCTCCACTCATAAACAAACGTTGTTTTTATAAAAACAACAATAATGGGATTTTGCCTGACGATTTTGCAACAACGATTTTATTTATTTTTTTTTTAAATTTCATAATTCGTTCCAAATGGTGGAGGGTATTCAAAGTTCGGCCCGGTCGAACTTACTGACGTTTGACTATGTTGCAGTTGTTTTATCTCACCCTGTATATCTTTCAGCCAATGAATAATTTATGTTAGAATGGTTCGATGGTTATAAAAAATCGACACAATTAACTCCATCTTCATTGAAAAATATCTGGAATAACAACGAGCCAATATCATAGCTGATTTTCCAATTTGTTACATAACATTTTGTACATTCATATTATTTTCTAAAATTTAATTACATTTTCAGATATTTCAAAACCGAAATGTCGAAACCAATTCTCTACATGAATCCTCTAAGCGCACCATCCAGAGCAGTTATGTATTTGGTCAAATACCTTGGTTTGGAACTGGAATGCATGTAAGTCTTATATATGTCGTCTGTTTCAGAACTGCAAGAATGCGAAAGTTCTTACTACAATAACCGATAATGAAAAAAAATTACAAAATTAGTAGATTCTTGCGTGTTCTGAAACAGAGCAATTGTTTGTTCCAGAATGTATGCATTTAACTACTACAACCTATTTTCCTTTTATGATATCGAAAAATAATACAAAACTAGTAGATTCTTGCTGGTTCTGAAAAAAAAGCAATGATTGAAAATCATAAAACAAATCAAAAATATTCTTTAATTATTTTTCAGAGAAATAAGTTTCGATACACGTGAAACTCTAACACCGGAATTCAGGAAATTGAACCCACAGCACACGGTACCCACTCTGGTCGATGGTCATGATGTTATCTATGATTCCCATGCCATTTGTGGATATTTGGTAGATAAATACGCAACAAATGACGAACTATATCCCAAGGGCTTGGTACAAAGAACTTTAGTAAATGCCCGACTACATTTCGATTCTTGTGATATATTTTCACCCATGCGTTTTATGTAGGTACAAATTTTATATGGAGGATTGGAAAGTGTACCAAAGGATGTAGTTAGGTGTTTGCACGAATCCTGGATGATATTGGAAGACATTTTAAAAGATAGTCCGTATCTTTGTGGTGAAAATATGACAATTGCTGATATTTGTTGTCTTGCCACAATAACGGCTGTATTGAGAATGCTCCCATTGTTGAGGAGACGTATCCCAAACTGTTCTACTGGTTGCGGAGAATGTGTTCAATGCCGTTTTATTACGATGATGGGGCCAAACGGTTGCAAATGAAAATTCAGGAAAAACTCAAAGAGAATCGTTTAACCAAAAAGGAAGTTAATTGAAAATAAAGGCAAAGGGGAATATTAAATAAAAATACGTAAATTGTACACGTGGTAAAAAGTATTACCAGAGAGATTTTGTAATATAAATATTGGAATTATCTGCAATATGTAATGTATTATATTTAGGCCGAGAGTGATCAGTTGTTGATAAAAACAACTGACACAATCTACAAGGTGTGATAAAAAAAAAAAACTTTAACAAAGTCAAACGCCACAATTTTTACTTTTTTTTTAATATTTTATTGAATGAATGCCAAAAGTTATCGGAAATAACATCATATTTTAGAATAAGTTTAGATTTCTTCGAATTGGTCACTCTAAACACGAATTATGGCCTTCAAACGGCCAATGGAACCCAAACACGCTGCCCGAATGTCGCTCTGCGGTATTTTTGCCCATTCCCGGCGAAACGCTTGCTTGAGGTGATCAACACTTTGGTATTTTTCAGTGCCAACCTTGCTTTCCAAAATACTCCAGACACAATAGCCCAACGGATTGGTATTCGGAGATTATGGTGGCTATTGTGCGCTGGAAATGAAGCGAGGAACCTCATTTTGTAACCATTCTTAGTTGGCGCACGCATGGTGCTGTCTCCTGTTGGAATATCCAAGGTCTGCGGCCAAAATACTTGCGTGTCCAAGCCTTTAATATACCCACCAGATAATATTCGGCATTTATTCCGATACCTCGGTCGATTAATACGAGCGGTGAGCGACCATCGGCTGTTATGGTGGCCCACACCATCACCATTGCCGGAGCTTGAGTTCTGGTGGCCAACCGAACAACCGGTGCACATTTTCAGCTGACCTCTTTGGCAAGTAAACACGATCATTTTGTTTGTTTACAAACTGCTGGACAACTAATGTTTTCTCATCGGAGAAAACCAAATTCGGTAGTACACCACTTTCGGCCAAGCGAAGTAACTCTTTAGCTCTTTTGAGTCTATTTTCTTTCTGTTGCGATGTAAGTTCTTGCCCTTTTTGAAATATCAATGGCTTTACCCTGAGCTCGTTTTTTCATATTTGCCGAATGGAATATTGCGATAGGTTCAGCTCACGAGCCATTTTTCGGCCACTGCGAAGCGGATTTGGATCAAGTCGCTTCTTTACATTTCGAACCATTTCTGCTGATGTTGCTATTTGCTTCCGTCCACTTCCTTGACGTCGGGCTACGCTACCAGTATCACGGTAACGAGTGATGGTACAAGACACAAAAGACTTATTCACATTTAAATGCTGGAGTGCTCTAACGATAGCCACTTGTGGTTTTCCATCTAAATATAAAGAAATCACACTATCACGCTTGAATTCCATCACGAATAACTTTTTTTCTGGAAAATTCTTACTAAAATGCTTTTTTACGCTTCTAAACAATATGAGCTGTCACTGGAATAATTTTAACAGATATCGGGCGAGTGGCTTAGAAATGATAGCAGACTGAAATTTGTTGCAGTTTTTCATCTTACCCTGTATGTCATAATTTTTGGAAATTGTTGAAATGAGAGTTGGATTTGAAAAACTTGAAGAAAATTGGAAGTTTGAAAAGTTGGCTGACTTGTTTCGCAATTTATGAGACATTTAAGTATTGAAAATTGTGACCCTATGTGGAGGAGTTATCAGAAGGGGTGGACTGATATATCTCACATCAGATCTTGCGTTGGTAAAAATTTTGGGATCTGTGAAATTTGTATAGTATCCGATGCTTATTTCGAATTTCATGAGCGCTTTGTTTTTCAAAATTGTGAACCTTTCTTTAGGAGGTATCAGAAGGAGTGGACCCATATATCCCACATTCGCACTAGATCTTGGGTAAATTAAAATATTGGGATGTGCGAAATTTGAAGAGAATCGGACGCGTATCTCGCGTTTTAGGAGAGACCGAAATATTCAAAATGTTGATCCGTTGTGGGGAAGGCACTAGAAGGAGTGGTCCGATATATTATATCTTCCTACTTCATCTTTTGTTGATAGGAATATTGGGACGCGTCGAGTTTGAAAGGAATCGGTTGCTTATTTCGCGTTTTATGAGCTTCATGTTTATTCAAAATATCGACCCTTTGTGGGGGAGGTACCCGAAGGAGTGGTCCCATCATCATACCAGACCTAGAGTTGTTAAAAATACTGGGATATGTGACATTTCAAGACAATCGGACTCTTATTTAACATTTTATATGCATTGAGATTATTCAAAATGTTGACCCTTTATAATGGAGGTACTAAAAGAAGTAGACCGATATTGTCTATTTTCGCAAGGACAAAAATTTTAGAATCCGCAAAGTTTAAACAAAATCAAATAATCCTTTTTTATCCTAAATAAATTATAAATTATTTTCTGTGGAAATTGTAACCTTTTGTGGAGGAGGTATATGATGGAGTGGACCAATATTGCCCATTACCGAACTCGATCTAAGTTTGACAATAATATTACGAGGTTTTCAAACCAAGTTTTTTTCAAATCGGAGTTCGAGAGTTATCGTGCGCACCAGTCAGCCAGATATGTTCCAAATGTTCCGAACGTCTTGGAACCGATTTGCTCCAAAGAGACCATGGGTATAAAACTATTATTTCGATGAGGCACGTTGTGATCGTATCGTTCATAATGAGACCATAATATTCGAAATACCAAACATCTTACTTGTAATGGTAAAGCTGCAGAATTCCAAATTTTAATATCTTTTATTCTATTTAGATTTCAAAAGACGATTAGAAAGATGAGCATAGCTTAGTTTTCGCTGATCATGAATATGTACTTTATTGGGTCTGTATATAAAATATATCTTCCATTTTATGGCAGAGGGTAGAATTCTTATTGTCGACATTTTGTATTTATGAAGGGCACTAGTCTTCCACCGATAATCCTAAATATCCTTACACACAGATGGTCCATCACCACTACATGACGCATAGGCCATTAAATGAGGTATTGTGTGCTGTTGCAGCACTCCCGTAAAGAGATGGGCAAAAGGTCCAGAGGAAAATATGCCAACATCTTCGCTGGAATGGTGGCGCGCTGGGGTTTTAATGTAACTGGGAAATATGCTCTCTAAACAAGAAAACCGTTAAAAAACTACTTATTTGTAAAATATTTGGCAATCTCACCAATTGTTCTGGGCATTCTATCCAAATTCAAACGTTTCCCTCTGGCATCCACATACTGTAGCAGCCCCAAAACGTAGTTAAGAGTTGAAAATTTCAAACCATCCTGTGCACGATCGTGTTTATTTAAACTCAATTTTGGATTACCACAATGGTTAGGGTATGGCTATGGTCGGCGGTGACCACAATGAGAGTGTCTTTGACATCAGTCATATCACGAGCCAATTGTATGGCCTTTTCAAATTCCAAAGTTTCTTCCAGAACCACCTTCGATGAAGATGAAGTATCCTTTCTCGTTTTTCCGCAAAAGTTTCAAGGCCAACTCTGTCATTTCAGATAACGAAGGCTGCTTGCTTTGATTGGCCAAAATGTGATAATCCATAGCGGAAGTGTTCAAATTCAATAATTGATTTCGATTTGTAACTACCTGACCCTGGGGATGATCGTCTTGCCATTGCGAAATTAAGTTTCTGCCATCCTGACGCCGCCCAAAGTTTCCATGGTCATCACGTTGATAGAATGGAACAAACTTTTCCATTCCGCCACCATTAAAGTTTTGACCAGGTTCTTGCAACACCAACTGCTGGGCTATATCTATGCAGATGGCCGAATCTTGTCCGAATTTTAAAACATCAGCATCGCTTTCATGTAAACGATTGGACACATGGGCATAAGTGCCGGCAGGACTTGCATGGGTTAATGTATTTGTGGTTTTGAAACCGGTGGTTTTTCCGGCAGCCTGACCCCAGGAAGCAATGGAGGACACTTGAGTACTGGGCTCCATACTGGCTGTACAGTTATTATACTCTAAATTGGCACTGACACCAGTATTGAAAAGGTTCGTTTTCACTCCACACAAATAGGCGGTGGCGGTGCAGGACGAGTCTGCAACTTGGGCATTAGCGCAATAGGTCTATTATGGATAAATATTATTATTGAAATAATATAGGTAAATGAGACTTCCAAATCATACCTTACCCAGTCCCGTATGGGGAAACTTTTCAAAACTCAAAACTTGTCCCTTGAGTATCCTTGCTGCTGCGACCGTATTCAATGACATACCATCGCCCAGGGGCAAAATAATATTTTTGCCTTATGCACATTGAAGTCCTGTTTCCATACATTCCTGAAAAGTTCTTCTCTCGCCAGAGAACGCCAAAATTTCGGGCTTCTTTCTTCATCGGGAGGTTTTTGGCTGAAATCAAATTGAGTTATCTGCCCATTTAGCATGGCCAACATTGTCATTGGACTATGGAAGAGTTTGTCTTCGACAATATCCGTTTTTCCGAATCTGAGGTAAACAAAAACAGATAAAAATTGGGAAGGGTATTCATGACGTTGCTTCTTTGATGCCTGATTGTTTTAAAGTGGCGTGAAGACTATACTTTAGTTGGTCATTATGAGTCGTATTTATAATTTATGGTTTAAATGGGAAGTGACTTCAAACTTGTTTAGAGATGACCAAATTGCTAGTATGCATTAGTAGGTTTACGAAGTTGTTGCATTATATTCATTGTCTTCCTACATCAAATAATGAACATATCTAAAAAATATTTGTGAGAGAACCTGAGTTGCCAAATTACTGCTGATTCGTTTGGAACAAAGTCGCAGTCGAGTTTTTCTTTTCGACTACAAGTTAGGATATATTTTATATAAATTATTGATGTTTCGTTATGTTTTTAATCAGGGGTAATTGCTGACAAATGCTGACAAAGAAATTATGAAAAAATCGACAATTTATTTGATGCCGCAATACCAAAATCTTGCTTCTGAACTTTCCAATTCAATTTTTTGAGATAAATTGTTTAAACTTTATATATGCTAATATATGAACAAGTAAAAAAGCTGTAAGTTCGGCCGAGCCGAACTTTGAATACCCTCCACCATTTGGTACAAATTTGGCAATTTTCAAAAAAAAAATAAATAATAATAATAATAATAATAATAAATAAATAAAAAAAAAAAAAAAAATAAAATCCGTTAAAAATTCTGTTAAAATATTAAAAATACCGAATGCAGCCATATATTAG